CATAGGTTTAGTCTGGCGAGATTCTGTCTATTAGGTGCAAGCTAATAAAGGAACTGAACTGGACTGGATTGCCTCATTGTTGTTCTTGGGTTGAATCTGATAATTCCAGCATGTAATACTTAAACTAGTAATGCTTTAAAATGGTATAAGAATATTATAGATGATGTATACATTTCATTATATTTTGAAACTGTATCAACTATCCTTTAGGAAATACATAGGGTTGGATCCAAAGAATGATACAGAGCATTCTTAAACAATGCAAAAACTGAGGGAAGGAAATCAGCAAAACTCAGTGATCCACCCATGTCCACAGGTATTTTTTAACTGAGTTAAAGCCTCTGTAGTACAGGTAGGCCCTGGGTTAAGAACACCAGTTTAAGGCTGACTCATAGTTAAGAATGGAGCCTACTGTAGCAAAATTTGAGTTAAATACACAATGAGTTAAACACACCATGATTCAAGTTCATTACACAATACTACTTATACAGTATTATACAATAATACTGTTCCAGCTTATATACAAATTCAACTTAAGGACAGACCTTGGGAATGGAACTTGTTCTTAAACTGGGGACTACTTGTATATAAGTCATAAAGGAAAGTTAAAAATATGTAACTTCAGAAGTAAACTTTTAGGAAAATTACACAACAGATAACGCATTTATATATTATTGGGCCAACCAGGAATATTTAGACTTGTAGCAAGTGAACATAAGCTCTGTAACATGACAGATACATTTTAGGAAATATTTTAATTTCAAAATGGAGAGTGAATTGAAACCTCTGTATTACTTGACACTTTTAGGGTTTTTTGGAAATAACCTTAAATAATCCCAGAGATTTTTGGACTAAATTACTAGTATTTGTTTGAATTGTGGTGTTCAGATACCAGGCTCAGTATTTTTGGTTCAAGCTTTCAAAAATTAGGTCTAGGACTACTTTTGACCTAGAACTACTGGATCTGGGCTGTAAGAGTTACATGTTTCCTTGCAGCCACCTGTTGGTCTTCCAGATTTTTAGACATGAAAATCTAATAGCTCTAATTTGGTCCAATACTGTATGTATTGATAATCAGGATTCATGTGACTAAATGTGATTATATGTTCTCTATATCCTCCATATAGAAAACAAGTATTTCAAAGTAAAAGTTAAGCTCAAATTCTTCTCCAGGATATCTAAATTTCCCAGGTGAATGGAAAGTTTTCAAATGAAAGAACATTTTATCATATGAGTTTTGATTTGCTGTCAGAAATGACTCAGCCAGAAACAGTGTAACTACCTCAAATGAAAATTAAATCTTGGAGGCAATAACACTGTACTAGATCAACCAACATTTTGACTTGGCATAAGGCAGCTTCTTCAGTTCATAATAACAGCTATTAAATGTGGCTTGTGAGAAAAATACAAGATCAGTAGGATAACTTTTTAAAACACACAGTTATAAAGGCAAGGGAAAATGAATGAAATAGACCCAATTAGATATGTCTCCTGCAAAACACCTGAAAATACACGCTAGACTACATAAAATACTTACTTTAGTACTCAAGGCATCAATCTCTCGTTCAGCTTTATGAAGGTTGCCTATTAAGTTTGTATTTTGCTCATTGCTCATCTGCAATTCTTTTTCAATGCGTTCAAGTTGCAACTTACCAGATTGTTTTTCTGCCTTAAAATTAGAAAAGATAATTTTATATTAATAAATTGAATTCAATAAATTGAATTGGGAGAAATTACTCTTGAATTATTGTTTGAAGCTTGTTTACACTGAAGCATTTCTACTGATATAAATGGAATTATCTTTAGCTAAGCACACTTGGGATCACAATTTTAATTAGGTTGAGGTCTTGAGTATTATCAAAACATAATATTTTATATTAACATTACGGTGAAAGATAATTTGGATAACAATAGATTTTAACTTTGTGAGGCTGCATGTTATGTCTCTTTTACAAAGCAAAAAATAGATACTTATACAATTGTTAAAAAGCAAACAAACAGCAAGCTTAAGTGAGAACCCATCAGTTTGGAACCAAAGAGAACTATCAAAAAATAGGGAATGGCAACTCCACACTGAGAAAACTACAAAAATGCTGAGGTATATACATCTGTATATGAAAAATAATGTTTTTAATGCCACAAAACCTGTTTCACAAGCACCTGTGATTTTATAGATTGCTGACAGCAGGTGAGACAAAAGAAAGGGTGGAGGGGAAGACTAAGGAAAGTAAATCATCTGGATTATGTGAGTTTATCCCATATAATAAAATCTAGCCAGCATGCAACACTAAATCATGGTTTAGCCTAATGTGTCGAAGTCTTATTGTCATGCATGACTCCATCCTATCACTTCTCTCTTCCAAATGACTTCCATTCTTAATGAAATATGGCAATTTATTGTAGCTAAGAACTATGTTTAGTGTTTATTATGATTTAAGGAAAAGGCTGTGATGCCTAAATCTCCAAAGATGATTAGACTTCACAGCTGAAATAGTCCCCATCATTTAAAAAGAACAGTCTATAAGAAATGACTTTCTGAAGTCTTAAGAGTTTACTTTAAGTATGAAAGGGTGATGATTAAGGGTTATGGTGTGTAGAATTTGAGAAAAAAAAATTCCACTGCACACATGCACACACACTATATAGGTGTAAAGTGTTTAAGGTGGGGTTAATAAACTTCCAAAAACATCATTAATTAGTCATATAATATCTCATCAGTGTAAAAAGAAGTATATATGCATTTTACAGTATAATTTTATTTCCTATTAAATTTTTTAAAAAGTCTGATCATTAAGATTCACTGATAGCCTGATGTGCACTTAGGCCATTAGTCAAATTCTTCACATTCATATATACAGCAAGCATTTTTATTATACCTATAGGGAAACAATTAGATTTTGTTTTGTTTTTTTACCTCCAAACTTCTAATTGTAGCTTGCATCTCAGCTAACTGTCGCAGCTGTATTCTTTGCACATTTTCTGCTTGCACACCAGAATTTTCTCTCTGTGCTCTTAGTTCTGCTACTTCAGCTTCTAATCCCTTTAATTTCTGCAGTAGTTGGGCCTTTTCTCTTAATAGTGCTTCAACACGCTTGTTATCTCTTGTAGGATCAATACTAAGCAGCTGATTATGCAATTCTTCTTTATCTTTATCCAGCCTTGTTATCTATTAATATTGGAACAGAAAACATTAATGACCCAATACTAATGGAGCAATGGCATAGAATTTAATGGAGGTCTATTCCTTCCATCCCCATCCTAAACAAGAGATCATTACAAGGAAAGTGTGATGTATATACATCAAGAACATTGCAATCTAACCGTATGTATTTCTTCCTCCAAAACATGAATAAATGGCATAATGCACAAAGATGAACTGGACAGAAATGTAAACCCTACACATGGATTCTTTTTCCTGCAATCAAAGCTTACAGTATATGAGAAAATGAAAATATGAGAATCCACCACACATGCAATTTCTTTCTTGACCAGACCTCATAATACTTTATTAAAATAGCTATCAAAGAGCGAAACATGGTTGATAAGCAATCAGTATCTGGGGATGATGGGAAGGAGGGGATGCTCAAAGCAAAAAGCATATACAGGGAGTGGCAAAAGCAGGAGGACAAGAAATTTCTCTGTGTCATGTTTAAAAGTACATCTTTTAAAGTGTGAGTACATCTTTTAAATCAGGTCTATATATCAAATTCAGCCAAAACCTGAAAAAGGAATTCAAGCAGGCACATTTAGACTTAATCTGTATCCATAGAGGCAGAAGAGTCCTAGGACCAGTGCTTTTTAAATTATTTCTAACATTTTAAACATATTTATAAATGATCTGGAATCAGGCATGAGAAGTAAAATAGCCAAGTTTGCTGATGACACTAAATTGTTCTGAGTGGTAAAAACAATAAGGGACTGCAAAGAGCTCCAAAGGAAACTCTGCACATTAGTGGAGTGGATATCAATATGGCAGATGTCATTCAGCGTGAGCAAGTGTAAAGTGATGCACATTGGTGCAAAAAATCCTAATTACTCATATAACTAATGGGATCAGAGCTAGCAGTGACTGATTAAGATAGAGAGCTTGGAGTTCATTGAATGTGTTGGCACAGTGTGTATCTACTATAAAAAAAAGACAAACAGCATGTTAGGATAATAAGAAACAGTACTGAAAACAGAGATGTCAATATCATAATGACCTTATATTAATCAATGGTGTGACTGCATCTGGAAAACTGTGTACAGTTCTCATTGCCACACCTCAAACAGGATACAGCAGAACTAGAGAAGATTGAGGACAGCAACTAAGATGACCAAAGGGCTGAAGCAGCTTCCCTAATGAAGAAAGGTTGCAACATTTGGGGGTTTCAGTATAGTTAGAAGGCAAATTATAGGAAATATGATTGAGTAGTACAAAATTCTGCATGATATGGCAAAGAGGACAAGGAGAAGCTATTTTCCCCTTCCCAAAATACTAGAATCAGAGGCCACCCAGTGAAGTTGAATCCTGGAAGAATCAGGACAGACAAAAGGATTTTTTTTTTTTTACATAAGGCATAATTAAACTTTGGAATTTGCTGCCACAAGATGTGGTGCTAGCTACCAGCTTGTGTGAGTGTGTGTGCTTCGAGTCAGTGTTGACACCTGTTAACTGCCTGGACATGTCCCTGCAGTTTCTTTGGCAAGATTTCAGAAGTGGTTTGCCATTGCCTCCTTCCTAGGGCTGAGAGAGTGTTACTGGCCCAAGTCACGCAGTTGGCTTTGTGTCTAAGGTGGGAGTAGAAACTCACAGTCTCCCAGTTTTTAGCCTGGTGTCTTAACCACTATTCCAAACTGGCTCTCTACCTGCTTGGGTAGCTTCAAAAAAGAGTTGGATCAATTAATGGAAGTCAAGGGGATCATGACTGCTTCTGAAAGCATCTGCTAGGAGACTAGTGGGCTTCCATGTACAGTTGGTTGGCCACTATGAAAACAGACTGCTGGACTAGATGGGCCAGGGGTCTGATCCAGCAGGGGACTGCTTATGTTTTAAGAGGATCCCTTTAAAACAACTAAAACTAGAAACATCTTATGAATGATTCTGTTCTTTATCGTGATGCTACAGAAGGGCAGTCACTCAATCTGAAAATCATCTATTTGCAAAAATAGTTCCTTTGTGTCCATTTTTTAATCAAACGCCAGGATAGAGAAAAGAAGATGATAGAGACAAATAGCTTACTTATCTCTCTTATAATCAGAGAATGATTCACTGTGCCATAATTTATAGAGCTCTTCCTACCAAAGCAGCATTGATAATTGCCAGCAATACCACTGCCCAATGCCCATTGAGTATTGTAATACCTTTTCCCACACACACTTTAAATAAACATTTGCAAAGATCTCTTCACCACAAGACTCTTTCAACCTAAGTGCCTGACACTTAGGCAGTCTTCAACTTCTCATAGTTTCCTTATATAGCTTCAAAGGTTATTACATTCTATTAGGGGAAAAGAAGAGTCATTTGTGTTCCTTGCATGCTAATCAATGGGACAAATCTTGCCTCGGATCAAGCTGAAGCAGACAGCCTCTTATGCAATCTGAGCAGAAACAGGTTTTTCTGAAATGGACCCTGAACTGAAAATTGTGTTCATTATACAGCTGTATTACTTTCATTTCACAAATGAAGAGAAGAAAAACAAAATAATCCATTTACACAGCTCCAAAGCATGACTACAGTTTAAAATTGAAGTCCTAAGCAAACTTATTTGGGATTAAGCTCGATGAAATTTTAAAAAAAATGAAGTTACCAACAAGCATGGAATCATATCGTAAGCTGGATATGATGATCAATTTCTTTAAACAAAAAATCTAAAATACAATTCTACATATATAATTTTATATTAGGACTTACCTCAGCTTCATATCTTATTTTATTCTCTTCTAATACACGGGCCTGCTCTTCTCTCTGATGTTCAAATTCTGATTTGAGGAAAGTATGTTCATAACGAAGTTTGTTATATTCTGTTCTATATTTTTCTACTTCCTAAATTAAAAACAGCATGTGTGATTGAACTGAATCAAAACAAACAAAAATACAAAAACTTGGCCTCCCAAATAGGCAAATTATACTTAGCATAAACAGAATTAGAATTGTGAGATTTTAATATTATTTTGCAGTGTTCAAACTGAAGTACCACGAGGTAGCTGTTACTTGTACATACTGAAAATGAAAAGAGAAGATAAACAAAGCAAATTTAACAACAATTAAAATACCAATAGATTTAAAAAAAGAAAAGGGGGGAAAAAGGAAAACAGAAAAAGACTATTCTATTTCTGACTTTCCCCTTTTTTGTGCTTCTGCTAATTCTGCTAGTTTTTATAAACATATAAATGCTTTTATTTGCCATGCTGCATGATGTACTGTATGTATGGGAACATTCTTGCTTAAATTTGATTAAGCTTCTGTTGTGAACATATACTGTTAATTTCACATTGCTGCATATTCCCCAAGTTTTAAGTTCTCAATCAGATATTGTTGGGATTGTTTCTTTCTTCCAGTATTGGGCAAAATTTATTCTTGCTGCTGTATGTATTTCATTAAATTATGATGTTTCTTGTTGATTTTTTCTGGAGTTATACCTAGTAGGAAAAATTGTGGTTTCATTTCAAATTTAAATTCCAAAATTTTCTGCATTATGCTATGTATTCCTTTTTGGTACTTTTGAGGTTTTTTACACGTCCACTACAGGTGGAAAAATGTTCTTTCTGTTTTGTGGCATTTCCAACAGTTATTATTCTATGTTTTAGATATTGATGATATCTATATTAGATATCACTGATGAAATTGTACTATATACCATCTGTAGAACATTTTATACCAATTTTGTTTTAAGTTATAGCTTGGTGTTAATTTTATAGATTTAGTCTGTAATTATTCCCATTGTTATGGGAAGAAAGAAAGAAAATTTTCATTCCAACTGGAGATAGAGAACTACCTTTCAGATTACTGGCTCATGGACAAGACCAATGTTATTAATTAGTAAGATCCTTGATTTAGAGGCATAAGTGGAGCATAGTAAATTACCTCTGAAGACAGTATTAGAAAATTATACATACTTCTTCAAACCAGAAAGTTCATTAATTGATAATGATCAATTAATTATCTGTAAATATCAAATAGCCTTTTCATTGCTATGATTTACTATTCTAACACTTGCAATCTTTGAAGGCAAATTTAGGAAGATCCTCTATGTAGAAAGGGTTTGTCCATGTGATTCAGGAGGCACTCATGTCCTACCCTACTGCAACTTTTATAGAAGTCTTAGAAACTCTTTAGTGGAAATAGAATTTGACACATTCCTCAGGCAACCTGAGGAACTTTCTGTTCACTATCTCTTACTAGATAAAGACCCTACAATAACATATATTGCAGATAAATTTGCATCATTAGCATGTAAAACCTGTGAACAATTAATTAAATTTTACTCCTGTATAATTTGTTTTGGTCTGAGATATAAATAAAATATGTTTTGATTTGTGCTTTGTAGTCATTGCTAAGTTATAACGCCACAAAGTAGAGCCAAGCTGGATAAGCATTGTGAGAAGTTCTAGCCCTTCTCTCACAGCAGGTTTGGCCCATTGTAGATTTCAACCTACTTCCAATATCTTACTAGTCTGTAATAGATATTGCACTCATACAGATGTCACCAGATTAAACAAAAAATGAAAATATAGTCTTTGTATTACATAGCATTAGTATAACATTTTTTAATGTTCAAGGAGGCCTCAGTTTATGGAGGATGCAAAATATTAGATGGGATTTTGAAGAAAAATATGAAGCATTTAGGAAACCTGGAAAGCAACTGATAATGAGAAAACCTTAAAAGTATACAACTCATATTTTTAAAATTAGCCATAAAACTTAAAACAGGCAGGATTTGATTAGGACAAATCTGGATTATACATAAAAAAACTTCTCACTAATGGAACAAGCCTGCCTAATAATCTTGCTTTCATATTTTCAGTAAAGGTTTAACAAATTGCTGTTATAATAAAATCCTTTCCATTCTACTTACTTCATCCAGCTTGCGAAAGCGTTCCCTCATAGGTGTTTCTAAATCATGTTGTATTTGTGCTTTCAGCAGTTCGAGCTTCTGGGGAGTTATCACCTACAGGGTAGTAGAAATAGATATAAAGTAAATAACTAAACTACTAGTTGCACTGAAGAGTTCACTGGGTGACTTTCAGCTGGATTACTTCACTTTATCTCACAAAATTTTGTGAGGATAAAAATAATCTGGGGGTTGCGAGCAAACTTGAAGGGAGTCACAGGGCATTAGTCATTAGTCAGTGAGGTGAATGGAGTGACCACTCACAGGTTGCAGGGATGGGAAGAGGCAGATGCCCTGCAGATCCAAGTCAAGGCTAGTAGCAGCAGAGGGCCTGGGAACAGAATTGGGGTCTGTGGGCAGGCATCAGTGGGGTAAGGAGACCCCAGAGATGGGTCTTGCAAAACACAGAGCATAAGACATGCCTTGCAAACTGCAGTGCTGGACCCACCCAACACATTAAGTCAAATATAACACCAAAAAACCACAATGTGACTTTGCATGATGTGTGAGTCCAACAACTATTTCTCAGCCTGAATTAGCTTAATGAGGATAAAATGAAGACAAGATGAATAATATAGCTCCCATGAGCTTTTGGAAGACTGATAGTATAAAACATCCATTTATACTGTATATCACCCAAATGGCAAATCCTCTTAGAAAGAACTACAAGCCATAAAATTAGTTCTCTTAAATTATTACTATCAAATTCACCAAGTAGTTTAAAAACAAAAACAGCTTTTTAAGATGAGTAAAAAGTTTACAAAAGAAATCTAATTTTACACAATTCCTCCAATGTCCCAACAAAGTTGAATGTGGATAATAATCAAATTAAATAAGCATAATAAGACCACAGAGAACTGTGACAGCCTATGATACTTGCTTTTTAAGAATATGCAATGGCAATTTGTTTTAATTTATGCAGAGAAAGGGAAATCTGCAAACATAAAATTCCCAGAGGTAGGACTCCAGGACTTTTGTTTGTTCCCCATATTGGCTGAAAAATACTAATGATATTTCTGCATGACACATACCAATAATAAAAGTTTATTCTTTAAAAAATGAAACAATTTCTATTAATCCAAAGAAAGTTTAAAAATTCTATAGCAACAGTAGTCCCTCTTAATTCTGGCAAACGGTTGGAAATGGCCAAAAAGAATTTGTAATATAGTATGAAAATCTTATATTTAATTGGAAAATGTAACTCTCCTCTGGATTAGTCACCGCAGTTCTTGAGATACCAGCCCACTTTTTAAAACATTAGGCATAGATGAAAATATACTATCAGGCCTATAGGTTATGGTATTGCAATTTTCAAAACTTAGATGAAAGAAATGTCATCTTACCTGTATTTTTAACTCTTCTACTTCTCTAGTTTTATCTAATAATTCCCCTCTAAGTTCAGCAAGCAGTAACTGAAATTTATCATGGACAGTTTGCTTTTCATGTAACAGCTGCTTCAACTCACTTTGTGATTTAGTATATTCATCAAGTAACCTGCAGAAAAAATATCAATTTTTAAATCATTTGGTAATCTATACGGGTGTGAAGGAGCTACTTGAAGGCATGGTGTTGCTACTTTTTAGCCCTTTCAAGGACTTCTGTACATGTTTGTGTGTGCACAGAAGATACTTTTTCAAGGACAGCCGACAAAGCTAAGCAGCACTCACTTTGCTTTATCAGCTACCCCAGAAGTGTCCTCTGCATATGCCATGAAGATGTTAGGGGGACCATGAAGGCAGCTGTTTTATGTTTTATGCCAAACTTTCAAGCAACTGTTTTATGTTTTGTGCATGCAAAAAGCTAATCATCCATAAACTGCAGCAAAAATAACAAAGGAAGAGAAATTAATAAACTGTGGCAGAATATCCAATGATTTCAGATACACATACTTAAGTTAACTAAAATGTGGCAACTAAAAATATTTTTTTTCCTGCTAAAACATGTTAGTAAAGCTTAAAATAGTAAAAGTGCTTTTCTCAATACTAAGCTTAAGAAACTAAGGCCTATTTTACACAAGGCAATAGCAACAGAACTGCTTCTTATAGCCATTTGGAATCTGCTCTGTTGGCAAACTGTTCAGGTGCTGAGGCTTATCATGTAAATCCAACTTTTTAAATCACACTACTATAAAAAAGTTCGCAAAATAATACTGTTCTGGAATACTACTTGTTTTAATGCATGAAATATATTGCAAATAACACATTTTTATTAAAGAAAATGTTATACCTAGTATGTTCTGCTTTTAGAGTTTGATAGTTTGTTTTATGATGTTCACAACGCATCCTTTCATCAATTAACAGTTTTTGTACTTCTGCTTGTGAGCTGACAAGATCACCACTCCCACCCACTGGAGAAAGGATATTCGGCAAAGCATCCATTTTGACTGAATACTAATGAGATGACAATCAGGTAAAAATGCTGTCAGTGTAAGACTACCACCGTCATAGAGACTGCTTTCTCTCAAAAGGACATCCCCAGAGGCCAAATTATCTGTACAAACAAAAAAGCACCCAATTAATAGTCAGTACACCATAATAAAAAAAAAAAATCTTCCTTGAGTCCATGTTGCAAAGCTTCATTTTTCCACCAAACAGACATTCACTAAGAATATATATTCATTAATTACAATTCAGTTTCATTCACAGTAAACCAAACATGCTAATTTGTGAACACTACACATAATTCACCATTATCTGAACTTTTTTTTTTCTTTACAAGAGTGTTGAACATCCCTGTGGGTATAAAAGAGCCATTCCTGAGGGATACTGTGAACTTTGAAGCTTTGCATGAAAGCCAATCAAGTTGTCCATATCCTTTGATGAGAATGCATCTGGTTTAACTAGAAACACAGCCATTATAACATTTGAATGCTTTACTTCTATTCTTGTCAACATACCCCATCATTATGAGCACTAAAACAAACCTAGAAGTAGCAGAGTGCTGCAATTGGCCATATTATAACCTTTGAGCATTTAAAGATATCTAAAGGAAAACATAATTTTAAAAAGTCAAACCTCAAGAATAGGACTTTTTTTTTGTTGTGCGTTTTTTAAAAGTTGTAAAATGTATTTTTATCCTTAAAATATCCTTCTATCCTAGGCTTTGCAGCAGTCCTGCCTATGAATTGTTAGAAATAATGTGGAGTTTCAAAAGAATATTATGGACATTAAAAACAGAGCTACCATGGTGAATAAGACTCAGGTAGAGAAGCTTGCTGCATGAATTTAAGTTGGTCACTCTTCCTTAGCCAAACCTACTTCTCAAGACTATTGTGAGAAAAATTGAAGGGAGTGCTACGCATGCTGACTAGAGCTCCTGGAAAAAGGTGGGATGCAAATCTAACTAATAAAATAAATATAAAATATAAGAAAATTATACAGCAATATGTAGGGAGTTCCCTATTTAAATATTTTAGTTATCATATATTATTCATATTTAGTTTTGCTTCTTTGTAAACTGCTCTTAAATCTGTATATTAATTATTAACACCAATGAAATAGTAAGAAAAAAATAAATATACAATAAGAAAACTATTGGGATTATACTGACATCTTGTGGGAAGTTTTCTAAATACTTAAAATGCTAAAAGTAATTTCTCTAGAGTAAAAAATGGGCAATTTATCTTCCATTTCAACACATTCCATTACAGCTCAGATTGTACAATGAGGTTTCGTGAAATTAAGCAATCTTATAGCCAGAACTAAAAGTAGATGAGGATACCTATCCCCTTCTTTCACTTTTTAATATCTCTTCCTTCTCATACAAACTACTGAAACATACCCACTGGGGTATGTTAATAAACCACAACTGGATGGATTTGTGTACAATTCTAAGCTATATACTATGGATTACCAAAAACAATGACTACCTTTGCAAGAATGCACTAAATATAGTTTAGCACAAAGGTCTCAAATTGTGGGTTGTACCCCGCTCAGGGTTTGGTTGCAAGTAACTTGGGGAAAGGATATACTTTTTGAAAAGATAAGGCTTGTCCAGGCAAAGCAGCAGCATTCCTGCTTTTGCCTGGGCAACCCTACAGCTGGCTTCTGAAAGGTGGGCTTTGACAGCATTTCCACTCTGCCTAAACTTGTGCCAAGTCTAGAGTGAATTTTGACAGTTGCTAAATCCATAGTGAAGCAATGAACATGAAACTGAGCAAACTCAGGGAGGCAGTGAAAGACAGGAAGGCCTGGCTATGGTTCATGAGGTAACAAAGAGTCAGACACGACTTAACGACTGAACAACAACAAAATCCATAGATCTGTTAAAACAATTTGTCAATCACAGTAGCAGGACTAGTGTCTTGCAGTGTCTAATAGTATTGGCTTAATCTGTTAGTGAAGTCCAGTATTTTTATCCATTATTTTCCATTTCTAGCCTTTCAAAACACAAAGTTTTTGTTGGATGCTGTAGTGATGAGATGACCAACCTACTGTGGTGATAAAAGCAAGCCTAGATCAAGAAGCTATGGTGAAAGCTACAGATATTTTAGAAGGTGGTATATTTATTACTTGTCCAGTTCTAATTCTGATGAAATCATTTGTTTTATTCATGACAGTAAAAAAAAAAAAGAGTGAATAAAACATATTAACTGAGCATTTTAAGGGGTAGTGGTATTGAAAGCATGAAAACCACTGATTATGTTTCATGAGTCAAAAAATAATAATATCAAAACAAGCATCAAGGTGGTTTAACTAATAAGGAGAGCCGCTTCAGACAACATATTTTGGGTACAATAATCATAAAAAATATTACTTATGTAGTATTTCTTATTATTATTGCCAAAGATAGAAATAGATGTTTGAGGATTTTTTTTCTTTTACTTACAAAAATAACTAAGCTGCCTTGGACTGTTACAATAATTACAAACTTTCATGCCTTTCTTTCCCCTAAGTAAGCTTCAGGTGATGAAAGACCATGCCACATTAAATCTGATTCAGTACAATCTCATAAACAGCTGCTCAGATGTAAACCCTAGTAATCTCTAGTTACTCTTATCACCACCCAGTTAGCATGCAAAGGACTGCAGTCTGTTTTAGGATATCACTAGAGATTTCTCGTGGAGATTTCGCACAGAAGGTAAGAAAACAGCGATGTCATACCAATTTCCCTACGTTGTATAACACTATCAGTTTCCCAACAGTCAAGTAAAGGTTCCCAACCGGATAGCATTTTTTTTCCTCATCAGTCAGCAAAAGAATGGGAAAGCAAACGTCACTTCTGATGCATCGAGACTATAATTTCGACAGTTTCCAGCCAACGATAATGTCTAGTAGGCCGGGAAAGGCTGCCGCGACTTAACGCGGAAGCGTATGAATTCATTAAAAGGAACCCTGTACAGTACGAAATTTTGCAGCAAAGCCACGTTTGAAGAAGACAACCGTGGGTCCCCAAATGTCTCGAGAAGTACTATACCCTAACCCTACCAAACCCTTCTCCCCTCTCTTCCCCCTACCTACCAGTTCAGAGCGGGCACCAGGTGCCTCGGCTGTTTAAAAATGGCGCCTCAGGACCATTGCCCCGCCCCTTTGCTTTTATTTGAGTCCTCTCGGAACCCGTATACACTTTTACCTTTCCATTTTCTAAACTGCCGGCTGAACCCCTCATCGGTTTAGGTCTTCGTCGCTAAGTACCACGGGAATGCGGAAAAAGGATCGCTGCGTTGGAATGGGAAGCGAAGCGCGAGGTGACGCGCGAAGATAAGAGGCGGGGCTTGTTCCTTCCCTTCTAGTGTTGAGCCAATAGTATGGTTGCCGAGGTCGCTTCTGTGGTAAAGCAGCAGCATTTGGAATCTTCCGGGGACAGAAAGTTCTGCCTTCCGGTGTTAACGTCCTTGGTCAGGGCGCTTCCGAGCAGAACTCCTAGTGACTGCGTGGTGAAGGCTCGCTATCTCGAGCCGCCTCTCGGAATAGTGTATAGCTTAATCCCATCAATCAGTCTGTCCATGACTTCCCCGTTCTTTCTTCAATTTCGCAAGCATACACTTTTTTTTTCGGGCCTGTCACCACATGTCCTAAATATGTGATGCTTACTGCTTACTGATCGTCCCCTCAAGCTGCCAGCTTTTATTTGCTGTAGGACTAATTCTGGCAGTCCGAGTTACTCTTAATATTTGCCTCGAAAATGGTAATTTAGTATTATTGTTAGATTTTTATCCCGCGTTTTTTAATATATAACTTAAAGTATTTGAAGGAGTCTTTTTTTTCTTTCAGTCTTTCTCACTGTTCAGCTTGCACAAATCACCTTTAGGATTCTGACTTTTTTGTTATAGGAATATCCCTATTCTTCATTATCTTGTCTAAATGTGTCATTGCTTTTCTGCTTGAGATTAAACTCTTCTCTAGCACAGTGACAATCTTATCTTCTTGAAATCAAACAAAACAATCACCTTTACTTCTTTGCTATCTACATTAAGGTCACTTAAGCATTGCAGGCAAATATTACCACTGACTTCTTAACATTTAACTTTAACCTGGATGGCAAACTTTTTACTTTCATGATTAACTTTCAGTTTTCTTTCAGCTAAAAAATTCTCAAACAGATACTGTTTTGACCACCTATTTTGACTCCAGCTGCTATTTACTCCAGTGGTGCCATTCTTATAAAATAAGTTAAATAGATGCAAAGACAATTTGCATTTGCATCCTTGTATCATTCTTTTCTCTATCCTGAACCAATCTGTAAAAATCCCTGTGTGTATAATGGAACCTGCTGCCAGATGAGAATATATAGGGCTACATCCATGTAGTAGCCAAGGATGATAGGTGACTGAAGCAGTCATAGTTCCTGTTCTTTTTTTTTAATAAGGAAATTACATACAGTTCAGCAAGTTTATTTAAGACTAAATGTACATAGGCTTAGGTAGCTCATAGGATGCATATTAGGTCATCTATGTGTATTTTGCAGTCAAGATTAGAGATCTTCAAATGATTTAATGAACCTGAAAAGCAAAAAGCATTTTCTTATACAACATATAATGTACTGTATTAGATTAGTGTGTGTGTGTGTGTGTGTAAAATATCTGAACTGAATCTACCAAAAATTTAAAATTATCACATATACTAAATTTAGAGGAAATAGGGAAAAATACATGTTTTACAAATCTATCAGAAATTGGTAGCATTGCAGAAAAGGTTTTGATTTTCCAGCCGTTTTCTGTAGTTGAAATATTTGATTCATCACTTCATGATGAAATCTAGACATTATACATACTGTACTGCATTCTCTTGGTGAGAACTGATTTATCTTAAGGTATACTCTTTTAATGACGTTGGCTGAAATATTGTTAAAAAATGAAAAATTAAGCAGATGAAGGTCTGAAAGTCATTTCTCATAATATTTCCAGACTACCATCATAATCAGAGTAAGGATATATGGGATATATCTATTCCCTTCCCACTGAGAAGCCTAGTTGTTTCACAGTGGCTTCTTTTTAGCTGTGAAACGTTTTAAGCTTTTTGCTTAACTAATACTTCTACATAAAAACTGTTACGTTTGCCCTTTATTCATGTTATCCTTTCTCATCCCTTTGGCTAAGCATCATATCCTTTGTTAGCCATGTATCATTATGATCTTGTCTTGACGCCAGTGACCAGCCAAGCCAAGAAGTTCTTTTAGGATTCATGGACAATAACTACATCTAAGGAGTGTAGGCAATGCTATATATGTTTATTTGCTATAAGATTTAAAGTTCAGAGAGAAGTATAAGAGAAATATCACCAAAACACTTGCCAATTCTGCTGCCAGAGGCTCCTTCAAGGCAGTGGACAATACTGCAGCCAGTCCAATGGGGTGTAGCACCTTCGGGATGGTCTACACCGAAGCCCCCAAAAGTACAAGTGTCTCTTACTGCCTTTTATATCTTAAATCTTTGTTCTAACCAAAAGCTTGTACTTGGGCCAAGTGCCAACGACATCCTTATCTGAATATGCCTGGGTCTTTGCAGGTATGCTTATTAGGGAATAGCCTGGTGCTAGGTGGAAGATTCATTTATATCACTTTGTGTCAATTTTTCTACATTTGAGAAAAGTCCAAGAACAAATACTGTAGATGTGGGAAAAGCAGTAGACTACTTTTAACCTGTTCATATGAGGTGAAAAATCTGACACCCCACTATACTTCCTATCTCCTCACTCAATCTTCTGCAATGTCACTACAGATCTCAGGCTTTGTGAACCATTTTATGTACTAAATTTGCCTACCTCACCCCGCCATGCCAACAAAGTATCTGGAAACACCAACATCCTCCCACCCTGGAGAGATCAACTGGATCTAGTGATTATATCTCCCCTAATCTAGAAAGGTAGTTTTTATTTCCTTTAACGGGAAATGCAGTAAATTTAGCTGCTGTTCTAATCTTCATCTGACTGAATAAGTGTTTTAATCCCACAAATAATTAAAATAATTGTAATAAATAAAATACCGTTTACATGAAAATGTATTTACACACAAAAAATACTTTTTGAATCAAATTGGGTAGTTCAGTAGATATTTTAAATAAATAATACCAACTACATTTAAAAACTTTATTTAAAAATAAAAGTCAGTGTCTCCTTGAGGCAGTTCTAATACCCTATGAAATCTGCAGAACACAATAAAGAATTCTAGCACATTTATATTTATACAGTGCCACACAAAACAAACATGGCATGATTATATGTTACATATACAATGACAAAATGTCAATTCAGTGCAAATGATTGTTCAGTAGACTTTTAAACATGATGCCCAGTTGTAATTATCTTACAAAGAAAAAGTAAGGAGGAGGAGAAAAGGCTGCCTGAGGTACAATTTAATCCACAAAACATCAGTAATAAATTAAAATTTTACAAAACAGTTCAACCATTCACCATGCAAGTAGTATGTGCACTGCCTTCAAAATTCATAATATTTGAAACCTGGATTTATATAATAACTTCTATACCATGAGATAGTTGTACAAATGTTTCAATAGTCTGTAAAGTTCTTATTAAAATGAATTACCTTTATTCAATGCAGAATTTGTATGTAACAAAGTATTTATTTAGTTCTATATTGCATGTTTTCATTCTATAATCAAGGGCATTGACATTATGCAATAGAATCTATAGTACAAATAATTCTTAACGTGAAGATTTTCTTTCTCAGAAGGAATTAAACAATAAAATAGGCATATAGAACTTAAATCCTTGATGCTTGTTGTCAAAACTGTATTTTGTGTTCAGTAATGAAACAGTCTTCACTGATAATTTGAGGAAGTTAAAAGCACCATACAATTCCATAAATAAGACACAGTTTAAGGAAAATAATAATAAAAAATATATAAAATAATGTGAATGAAAATTAAAATAATCAGCTATTACTCCTGGAGTGATTCTGTTGTGAACTACTTGTGTAGTAATATTAAGTATGAATTGTTTGCTTCCAAAATGTTTGACTCAATTGTCTTCCAGAATACATTTTAAGATGGGTAGTTGGCAAACAGATGCATGTTTTGAGAAAATATTATACCTAAGGATGTGCATGAAATGTAAAATATATCTTGTTTTGAACTCCAAATAAAATATATTCTGAAAGTTCTGCCAAACCATTTTGGATTAGCTGTGGTTCAGCAGAAACAAAACCTAAAACAATTTGGTTATTCTGGGTTTCAGCTGAAACAAAATCTACAATCATAGAGTGATTTTGCAGATCAAAAGAGTAAGGCTAGTACCCACTATCCACGCTGTTCCTCTACGTGGCCTGAGCACTGGCCTTCCCACTTTTCTTCCCTCCCTCACCTCAGCCAACAACAGTCTCCCAGCATGGCATAACCAATCTGCCTGTCTCCCCCACTCCCTATCCTCCATATTGCATGCCCATATTTATAACAATAACAGGAAGTTACAAAATGAACGCAAAGGCAGTCTAATAGCAAAGAAACAATCCAACGTATTCTTAGTAAATATATTCGACACAGGGAGAAAGAACAAGTTTCAAGCTTGTTCCTCAGTTGATTTTAGTTGACCTCTGTTTTTTATTAGTACATTTCCCAAGAAGTTGGAACTGGCTGTTACTGCTGGCTCTATAGACAATTGTGCACTTACTGCAAGAAAGAAAACTCCTTCTCCCTTGTTCATTTGCAATTTAAGGGAGAAGTGAGAGAGAAAAGGATAGTGCAGTAATTTGAATTAATTTTCCCTGAAGGTTTCTGAGGCTCTTTCGTAAGTCTTTTAAGGAGGTTTTGAAGATACGTTTCTGTCAGCTTAAATTGTACTGGTGAATTGATTGTTGTCATTTTTATGTTTGTGCACATGATTTTGTTGTATCACACTATTGGCTATTATTGCTGCTGTTTAATTACTATTTTTTCTCTTATTATTTTCACTCCTTAAAGATTTTATTGATAAAAACGGCCTACAAATGCTTGTGTGTACAGTATGTGTGTGTGGATGGTTTTGAATTTAGATATTAACTTGATTAGAACTAACATAATATGCATCACTGCCAAGCAGTCCTATTTTAATATTTGGGAAAAAGATTTTCCAGTTTTGAAACAAAAAAGAAGAAAAAGACACAACCTGATTAACAAGGTAGCATGGGATGTGACGTAAGAGGAAGATTAGAATTTTTTTCCAAGCAAGAATACTTAAGATTAGTTGTTATTCAAAGTGCTGCTTTTTAAAAACTAATTTATTCCTTTTAAGACAATTTAAGCAAATTGATTTATATGCTATCCCTTAGCTTGAGGATTATCAATTTTGTTGGAATGTCTGTACTAAAATTGTACATTAATCTTTTGAACATTTTTAATATTATGAACAATTCATTAATCT